GGTGGCCGGGAGCGGCCACTGCACTCCAGTCTGGGTGATAGAGTGAGACTCCAACTCAAAATAAAATAAAATAAAATAAAATCAAGTAGAGTAAATGTCAAAGTCTAATGCCAATGGCTTTAGGCTCAAATAAAGTCACACTACATCTAACAGGATGAACAGGAGTATCAACCATGATGTCTAGGACAACTATTTCATCATAACCTGCCATTTTAGGGATAATAACACAGCATAGGCCTTTCATTAATCATAAATCTATGTCCTAAAAATGAAACTAAAACATGTTTACTTTTCACAAGTGTGTTAGGCAACATTTAAAAATCAATTTGTTTTGAGGTTTACCTACACAGCACTGAAACACTGTTGAAAATTAAGCTCTTATAATGTCAACTCTGGCAATAGCTCTTTACAAAATGGAAAAACAAAACAAAACCCACAACAAAATTTAGCAACCTTGAAAAGTACTGTTAGCTTTGATTCTGAGCAGGCCAGAAAAATCTGCCTCAATTAAGTCAAATTATGGTTTTGATCAAAATCTCCAAGGTATCTTCTAACCATGAAAATCACAAATCAGGCAGCTATAATTTCCTTCAATTCTCCCCTAAAGTAAATATTTTTTGAAGAGAGAAAGGAGAGGGTGGGAGACAGGAAGCATGCTCCAAAGTCCTCCCTCATAGTGTGTCAATTAAATTAAAATCAACACATTCTGAGGCTATAAAATATAAAGCATACCAAGATGAGTAATATAGTACCTGCTTAGAAGTTTTTAACCTAGTACAACAGGGCTCCCCAGGCCAAATACAGTTCAATCCTCAGCCTGTTTTTGTAATGTTTTATTGAAATATAGCCACATTCATTCGTTTACATTGTCATGGCCACTTTCACAACATACAACAGCAGAGCTGAATAGCTGAAACAGAGACCATCTGGCTTGCAAAGCCTAAAATATTTACTATTTGGCCCTTTACAGAAAAAATCTGCCACCACTGATGAATAAAATTGTATTTCCATTAACTCATCAAAGAATGCTTACCACTAGAAAGAATTTTGAATATCGTTATAACTTAAGCAAGGAAACTGTGGCCCATGGAAGAGATAAAGATAGTAAAAACTTCTAAAAGGGAAAAATGGCAATACTAGATCACATAGTGCCAGGCACTATTCTGAGGGCTGTACATACATTATCTCATTTAGTCCCCTTAGCAAGCCTATGAGATAAGCACACAAGCATTTTGCAAGTGGGAAGACTGAAGCACAGAGAGGTTAACTGATGAACTCAGGTTGCAAAGTTAATACAGCAGTGAAGATGGAATTCAAATCCATATAATTGGACTCCAGGGTATATGATCTTATCTCTTTGCATAGCACAAACACTAAATGAAGGTACAAACAATATTGCAATGCCTCAGAAAACAAAGGTACAATTATTCTTTCCTGTAGGCATCTGCAAAGACTTCATGGAGGGAAATAGTGCTGGTCTCTTCTTGTTACTTTTTGAGTTAAACTTTCCAGGTCCTTAGAAAAGATGCCAGGTAGCAAATAGCCAAGAAAACTAAACATAGCAAATTCACATTATTACATGATATTGTAAATTAGAGAAGGCAGAGTCATAAGAAAAATGCTCATTTTGCTAACCAAGAGAAGTAAGTTTTATTTCTTCTAATCACCATTATTGGTATAGTGACAGATACACTAGGTAGCTCAAAGAAGTATAAAACACTATCCTGTGGTTAAGGAGTTTAGTCTAGATGTATTAAATAAAACTAACTGGTACAGAAAAAGTTGATACTTGAGTCATTTATTTTTTAAAAGAAATTTGGTACAAATGCATTTTAATACATGGAAACAGGACAATCATTGATTAATATACATATATTTTCCAATCATTTCATAGCAAAATCCCCAATGTCTGCTTAATGACTAATTGTTGGGTTTTGACTCCTAAAATCTATTCTCCCTCACTTTTAGCCGTCACATTCCAATTTCCTCCTGATGACCTGTCATGTGCTTTGGGGAGTGGGCCCCATCACTGACTCCAAGAATTGAAGATGCGGCTACACTATCAATACATGCACCATGTTCTACTTGCCATAGTGACTGGTTCAAGGATGAGCAGGATGAACAGTAAGGCACAATGAGACTTTTATTAAACTGCATGGAGAGCAGCTCTTTCTGATTACATTTAAACCTGGAAGGATATGAAGAGTGCTGTCAAGCATAAAACAAGTGAGGTACTAGTTAAAGTAGTAAGGATAGGTTGTATTCTATATATACCTACTGCAATAGGAAAAATAAGTCTACTGTAAATTGCACTCAAATTCCCTGAAAACACAATGCTTTCAGGCTGAGGTTAGCTCAGGGAAAGGCTGAGGAGTGTTAAGAGGGGTAGTCAGTCCAAGTGACTAGGCCACCTGGATTTGTAAATTGGTACTTACCTGGAAAAGAAACAAACTTCTATTTCTATGACAGAAGGCAGTGGTGCAACTTGAAGAAAGGTGCCTACTGAAGTTAACCCTTTATCTTCCCACAGGGACTAGAAAGGGGAGTGAGTTATTTCCTAAAATGTTTGATTTCACTGAGGAGAGGTTGTAGCGCTCTCAGGTCCTTGAGAGAACAGTTTTTCATGGTAGATTTACATCTCATTGGGCAGAGAAATTTTTTTGTTTCTTTTTATAATTGTAAGCTTTTAAAAATAACTGCTCTAAAAATGGGTTCAGGGGTTCCAGGTTTTCCCTGGAATAACTGAACAATTCTCCTGGCAGCACTGAGCCTTCTTTAGGCAGGCATTGTAAGGGGGACTGGAATCATCCTAGGGTCACAGCCTTAAGATACTAGAAGCCATGCTAGGGTTTTGGTGCAGAGGTTTGGACCAAGTAGTTAGAGTTCTGCAGTTTTTAGTACAATCACCTTGACATCATAAAGGGAGTGCCTTTGTAGAACTAAGAAATTGAGAACTCTGGTGACAGTGCACCATCCTCTTACCCTGCTTTACTTCTCTTAAAAACATTTATCGCCATCTGATACCGTATACATAAATTTATTTGCATACTGCCTGTCTCTCCTTATTATAATGCAAGGTTCATGAGCTGAACTGGTTCTACTGTTACTGCTGTAACAGCGCCTGTCACATAGTAGGTAATCAATAAATATTTGCTGAATGAATTAATCATTTTTGCCCTCTGGTAACTGTAGCAGAAACAAGCCTTTCTCTTCTCTTTTAGGGCTATTTGAAAGGGGTTTCCTGACACATGCAACCTAAGAGTTGAAAATAATAGTTCTGTTCCCAATCCACTGTGAATATTGACCTGTAGTTCATTCCACAGAAATGGGATTTTACTATGCTATTGCTCCCTGGATGCACCTACGTATTGCAATCCTTCTGTTCAGTTTGTACCCTATAAACATCCAAAGTCTATGAGTTTCACAAGGACAAGAACGATATTCCACTCATCTTGGTATTCCCTTGGATGTGAATGCAGAAATTAGGGCCCAGGAAATGTCTACTGAGTTAAAAGATATCCCCAAGTCCCTTCCTATCTCTCTTTTGCACACTTCCTTTTACATTAACATTATCTTGTGGGTGCCAGCTCATATTTGCCTCACCCCACCCAGGACTTCCTTTGGGTTGAAACATTAAGAAAATTAGGGAATTTGTACTTTTTCCATATCTCTCCTTTTAAGAGAAAATTGGTTAAACAAAATAATTTACCCATATAACAGGGGCTAGTAATTATGGGTAATTAATATACTTCCAAAACAGTCTAAAATTCAAAATATCAAAAGGTTAAATTAATTTTCATTGTAGCAACAAATTCAAGTTTAATTAGGTTGAAGTTATTGTGTGTAAAATTCTTGGCACAGAATTTGGTCTCCCTTGTTTAATGAATGACATCAGCTCTTAACTCCTGACCAATTTGGCAATGTATTTAAATGATGCACAATTAAAAAGCTCTTTAGGGCAGACAAGGTTCCAAAGGTGTGATAAAACCATTTACAAGCATATCATAAAACAACCAGCTGTTGAGCTCCCCACTGTCTCTCACGTATGTGTAAATGTGGGGAGCTTTCTAGATTGTGCTGACTCACAAGCAGACGGCTGGAGTATTTTTCAAAGGTTAGGAATGGATCTCCAAGCCGAGCTGGAAACTCAGCTCTGACACCCTGAACATAACTCCATTCATGATCCTGACGTCTTTCTAATTGATCAGCACCAAGCAGTTATCAGAAGCTGAGCAACAGGAGAGCCCCAATGGCCCCCATCACAGACTTTGCACGGGGGTGGCCTCTTTTAGCTTTCCCCCGTGAGGTCAACCCGGGGCGTGTGTGGAGGGGAGGTGGGGGGGGACAACTGGGAAGAGGTAATCTCCGCTTTCACGAGATGGCATTCTAAAGGGCCGGATCAGGAACTGTCCCAGGTCGTGGCAATTAGCAGCTACGGAACAAGGAAGGAGCTGGAGCCCTCCTCCCTGGGCTCCCAGCCCGGCCCCACACACCCCGGGTCTTGCATGCCCCCCTCAGGGGTAGGTTACCCCCTCCCAGGAGCGACGACCCCGGCAGCCTCGGCCCCTCCAGCAGCCCGGCGCCACCCCCGACCCCCGCCCCGGCCACGCCGCCCACTCTCGCACATGCGCACCTCTGGAAGACCCCCGAGTCCAGGGCCGCACGCAGGACCCAGCCAATGAGCGGGACCCCCGCCAGGTGCTTAATGTTCTTCAGGGGGATGCCTTTGCTGCCTCCCCGAGCCAGAATGAGGGCCGCCAGGTGCGGGGGCTTCTCCACACCCCGGCCCTGGCCGCCGCGAGAGTTGCGCTGGAGCTTCGGCGGCCGGCCCCGGGACGGACGGCCCCGAGGGTTGGAGACGGAGGTAGTGGCCCCCTTCTCCACCGAGTCCATCTTCCTCTCACGCCTTCTCCCCAGCTTCTCCACATCCGGGAGCTCGTCCTTCGCCACCTCAGCTCGGCGCCGCCCGGTCCCCGCCCGACAGCTAGCGCGGGCGGCAGTCCTGCGCCCCGCCCCTTCCACGCCCCCTCCCCGCGGGGCACGCCGGGAGTTGTAGTCCGAGTGGGCTGCACCTGGCTCCAGCAGGCCAAATGTGCTCCAAGCAGGTGACCCCTAACCTAGACCAGGCAGTGAGAGTCCTGAGATACTTGGGTAAGTACGATCTCTGGGGTGCTTGACGATATCTGGAGATTTCTAAAATAGTCGAGATAGATTTATGCTCTTTTACTAAAGAATTTCCCCATTTAAGAATTGTAGGGCGTTTCTGATACACACGCGGATGCATCCTAACACAAATTAAATTTACGTTTTAAAATTTATATTTTGAACATACACCCTTTCCTACGCTCCCAACTCAATGCTTTCAAGAGATTACTGACGACCTCATTCAGGTACTACGAACTAAATATTGAAAAAACTCAGCTCTTCATATGGGCCGAAACTGCTTCTTGATCTCTGCATTTCTATTAACAGCATTACCATCTACCTAGCAGCAGAAACTTAAAATTAATTTTACTATTTACTTATGGTGTAGTAGGGGGCCTCTTTTTTGTTGTTGTTGTTGTCTGCTAAAAATATTTTTCTTTCAGGAATTGTTACCTCTCTTACGTGGTGAGCTATCGATCATATCCTTTGCTTTGTAGCAGTGAGTGTGTGACCCAAGCTGGTCAATCTAAGTACCCCATCTTCCTAAACACAGTTTTAGTCTGGGGACAGGCATAAGACCAAACAGAACCCAGTGGGATCCTTTCTACAAAATTTTGGAAAGGAAGGATCTTTCTCATGCTGAGTTTTTGAATGGTAAGGACATTGTAAACTTGAAGCCTCGGGGCAGGGGCAGGGTGGAGAGGGGTTGCTGTTCAGAAATGGTCTAGGAGACTGATGTTCACACTGAGAAAAGCAGGACCAAGACATATAGAGAGAAGAAAGAGCCCTGGTGGCATCATTTAAACCTCTAGATTCAACCAAGAGACGCAAAGACACACACACACAAACACACACACACCTCCCTCTTTTTAAATAGATTTGTAAGCAGGTATCTCTGACCTAACATGCATTTTGTCTTTTACTGCATTTGTAAACCTATATCTGGAAGAAGAGTGTCCCTGCTTGTCTTAGGTGGAGGCTAATACGTCTAGAAGAAATGGATTGTAGTATATTGCCTTACCTTCTCAGATAGGGTAACAGGCCCTTGTGCTTCTTGGGTCTTGGCCCTTTCTGAAGGGTAGAGATACTGGACACTTCACATCTCTTTTCCTGTGAAGTAGCTGGTGGACCCGCCCTTCCTGAGACTGGTGCTGGGAGAAGGTGCTTCATACAGACTTGGAAAAGAACAACTGTGAACACACTTCAGTGCCATACCTGGAGAAGGGGCCAGGCTCTATGAGGCATCCCAGAACTGCAGGCCAAGAGTGCCCCCATACTCTGGCTCTTTGAATAGGATGTTTGCCATTGCTGTGCTTCAGAAACATAAAAAGTGATCTTTTGGTAATTATGTGAGAACACCTACTTCTTACACATCAAAAACTTCTTTCTCTTTACCCCAATGACAGTCTTAGTTTTCACTAATAATGTAGTTACCATTCTCCACAATAATTCCCCAGAGGCCCATAAATCCTAGCATGTCAAAACACTTGAAGTTTGACTCCTAAGGCACTTTAATGTCTTCCAAACTGGGAACAAAGCAAGTGGCACCACTGTTGCTTATCAAATGAGATTACAGCAATTTGTATAAAAAGCCAGGAGACTGCAGACTCCTCCAGGAGAGGGACTGTTCCTTCTTTGTAATCTTCTCATTCAGAACAATGCATGGATCACAGTACTGCTCAGTAAACATTGGTGAACTTCATCTCATATTACTTTTCCAGTCTATGCCCACACATACTTTTTTTATATATCTATAATCATATGATTATAAAGCATTTTGTGTTTCTTTTATTGTCATAGACAAGTTGGTTGACCTGACATCTGGCTGATCTCTATCTTGAAAGAAGGGATTTGGGGGGAGAGAGAAGGGATTTGGGGGGAAAGAGAGACAGAGAGAGAGAGCAAGAGCAAGAGATAGAGAGAGAGAGTGGAAAGGATGCATCTAGTTCAGTATATGGCACGTAGAAGTTTGATAAATTTTTAAGTGAAATTAGAGTATACTCATTTAAGATATTTTTTCATTAGTCTAAAGGGAGAATGACTGTACCAGGAAGAGGAAGAAGGTGTGTTATTTTGTCTTTGTCTTTGGATTCCTTTGAATAAAGTAAACTATTCTTAAAGCAAATATTCAGAGGCATCCTTCCTTTAAAGATGAGGTATTGCTGCTGAAGAATAATTAATTTATATTTATAGTGTAAGAATATATCTTTATATTCTTGCTTTATGGTTTTGTATATGAACAAACTCAGTACACTGAGGAGTCTTTTTATTCACACATTCATTTGTTTACATTATTTTGCATTCACAAGCTAGTCTCTACTACACATTAGAAATACCAAACCAAGCTGAACAAGGCAGGAAGCTTAGCATTATGATGAATAGACAGGTGAAACACAGTAGGGTGTGATTTGTGCTGTGATGGAGTTATATGTGAGGTAGGCAAGTATATGTGAGGTAGGGGAAAAGTATTTAGGCTATAATATATTTTTGTTGGCTGAGATTGTGGCAGAGAGGGGCTAAAAACAGTTAAAATTATTCCTTTTAAAGATCAACCTGCAGGCTCTAAACCTGATAGACATGAGGCTTGAGAAAACTAAATAGCCACAAGGTGCTTTCCTGGAAATGCAAGATAGTAGCCAATTCACAACCTTAACCTAAATCCTCTCTTTGTGAAGTTATTGGTTTACAACCCCTGCTTGTTATGCATACCGTGGAGACCATTTGTTCTTTGAAAATCTGGTTTTGCTAAGTACAACCTTGCATATTCCAAAGATAAATGTATAGCCATACAGCCCCACCCCTTCCCTTACCTAAACTAACAGATAAAACCCCTCTCCTCTCTCTGGGGTGCTCAGCCTTGGAGCATTAGCCCGCTGAGTCGTGCCTGTGCTAATAAACTGCCACTTCCTAAGATAGCCTTGGTGTCACGGCCTCTCTGTTTTCCCACAACAAGGTGACTCTTGAAAGACTGTTAAAGTATAAGAATATTCTAGGCTGAGGGAACAGCATTATGGGAGGCACGGAGGAATGAAACGGTGATAAATTGGAAAACTTGAAGTAGGCCTCTATGATTGAAACAGAAAATGCTGGTTGGTTAGTGGCAAAAGATAACATTAGAGAGGAACTTCTGGGCCAGATTACAGCATGTAAGTCTATGGATTCAGCTTCATCAAGAAAGTTATAGAGAGCAGGGGCATGACTTGATTACTTCATTCTTTCAATAAATTGTTATTGCATGACTACTCTGTGTCAGGTGCTTTTCTGGGCACTGAAAATATACTGAGGTGAAAAGTGCTCAAATTCTGAATACATCTTAAAAGTATAGCTGGTAGGATTTTCTGACAGACCAGGTGAGGGGTGTGAGAAAAAGAGGGAAATGGAGATGACACCATGATCTTTGGCCTGATAATTAGTAGGAAGGAGTTGCTATTAACTAAGATGGAAAAAACTATAAGAAGAACAAGTTTTGGAGGGCAGAACTATAAATTCTGTTTTATAATGCTGTGTGTGAGACAACTATTGGACATATAAAGGGTTATAAAAAGTAGGCTATTGATTATATTGGCCTGGAGTTCACAGGAGAGGTCTAGGATAGAAATGTCATTTTGGAGTCATCAGCATGTAGATACTATTCAAAGTCATCAGACTGGATGAGAATGAGAAGTGATGGTAGATAGGAAAGAAAAGAAACTAGATGAGATCAATTAGGATGAAAAAAATTAATGAAAAAAAAAAAATCCAAAGACTGAGTCCTGGGGCTCTCCACCATGTAGAGGTTAAGGAAATGAGAAGACAGCAAAAGAGATTGAGATAAAATGTAAACTGGAAGAGAAACCAGTACGGTAGACTGAAATTGAAGTGAATACAGTGTTGAAAGGAGGAAAAAGTGATTAATTATATCAAATGCTGTGATTTTCATTGTGAAAGTTATCAATACCAAAATGAAGTCACTTATGTCTAACCTAATATAATGGAACCAGGAGGACACAAGGGAGAGGGAGTCACAAAATATGCCCATACCAAAATATACCACAGGAAATCATTTTTCAAACCAGTTTGCTACATAAGTCAAAATTATCCCTCTTTGCAGATGACATGATTCTGTTCCTCTAAAACCCAAGAGAATCTGTCAAAAATCTCCTTGCACTAATAAAGGACTTTGGCAAAGTCTCAGGGTAATAAAATAAATGTGCTAAAGTCAGTTGCGTTCCTATACACCAACAATAAACAAACAGAAACCCAAATAAAAAGCACAATCCCATTCACAATAGAAACACACACACACACACAAAAATGCAATATCTTGGCATCTTCCTAACCAGAAAAGTCAAACACCTGCCCAATGAAAACTACAAACACTGCTCAAAGAAATCAAAGATGACACAAACAAATGGAAAAATATTCCATGCTCATTGATTGGAAGAATCAACACTGATAAGATAGATGTCCATCATACCCAAGGCAATCTACAGATTTAACACAACACCTATTAAAGTACCAGCAGTATTCCTCTCAGACCTGAAAATGACAATACAGGAATTCATGTGGAAACATAAATGACCACGAATAGCCAAAAAAATCCTCAGGAAAACAAAACAAAGCATGACAGGCATCATGCTTCCAGAGTTTAAGCTTTATTATAAAGCTACAATAATCAAAACAACCTGGTTTTGGTACAAGGACAGGCATATAGATCAATGGAAATGCATAGAGATTCCAGAAGCAAAACCTCAATTTCTCATCTTTGACAAAGCCTCCACCAACAACCACTGGGAATAAGAGAACTTATTCAGTAAATGATGCTGGGAAAACTGTCTTACTACATGCAGAAGATTAAAACAAGACCTTCAACCATCCCCATACACAAAA